CGCTACTTGTATTTGTTGTGTCTCCCATACCCCCGCTTGCAGCAATAGACAATACATTCATATAAATCATTATATCATGTTATCATTATCTTCCTAACATTTGATTGTATCCAGCGGTAAGGTCAAAGAAGAGACAACCATCAGAAAACTTGATGATAGAAATAAGTAACGTCGAGGAATACTTGTAAGGCGTTCGATTGCATATGACTCAAATTGATTATTAGACATGCCCTTCGAATATATTAACATTCCTATACCTCTGTAAGATTCAATTATATATAAATCTTAGCTATTTGCTGTTGTATTATGTTTTACAAAACATGAATATGAATGATCAGTTACTACTATTGATGATTTGCGATCACCGGATAGACCTTACCTTTTAGTGACGTCACAATTAGGTCACACTGGTGTAGCTGTTTGATTTTGAGAGATTCTCTTCTGTATTTCGTACTTTATTGATTTATTTTTCACGAAAGTAGTCAATTTGACTAGATCAACATTCATTTTAAGCACATACCAAATCATAGCGGATAAGTTATCCATGCCGGTTCCCAATTATACGAAAGTATAAAATATCCGAATTAAGAAGAATTATGTGGCTCGAAATTTGAAAGTGTTTCGAGTTATAGGGACTCTCTTTAGACATCCAAGGAAAAAACTTGCCAGAATTGTTAAGTTATGTGCTGGTTTAAGTGTACTTAAGACAAACTTAAGACAAACTGATTTAGCTTAAAAACTGTCAACTGTGTGTGTTCTTGGCAAAAGGATGAGGTTGTAAATAAATCGCTAAAATTAATATTGTAAATAGAAACTTGTCCTATAATATTAGCATAAGTCGGGATTTTATATCATTTGTCGGTACTCGTATCTCTATATCGGTGAAAGTAAAAAAGGTCTCATGGGAGTTTTTTGATACAGTTTGTTTTTTAGGGAAATACGAGGGTTGTCCCAGAAGTAATGCACAAGTCAATGTTTTTGCTATAATTCAGGCAACAATGGTCTACACGACCTGTAATAAATAGGTATAAGATACGTTATTATCACAACACTAATGACATTGCTCACTTTTTAAAGTTAGTTTCTATGCTAATACAAACAATAATCAATTAATATTGAATTGAGGGGGGAGTGGATGGAGGGGGGAGTAACGTGTATATAAAACATGCTACTTGAATTTATTCTTATAACTCCAATTTTTCCCAATTTTTATTCTCCAGAGATATAATATCCAGTTTCTTACTGGGGTACCGAGCTTAGTTTTTTCAAATACACGAGGTTTTGTGAATCTGTTCCATCGTGAAGACATGTAACTCCCCCCCCCCTCCATCCACTCCCCCTCCATCCATTATTCATTTATTTCGATTATGTTTTGAATAACGCATGGAAACTAGTTTTAAAAAGTGAGCATTAGTATTGTGATAATAACGTCCCTAATACCTATTTATTACAGGACATTGTTGCCCGATTTATAGCAAAAACATTGACTTTTGCACGTTAGTGATGATGCACCTTTTTAATAGATCTCATATCTTAGAAGCGTATCAGTTAATAAAAATACTAGAAGACCTGACATATTGTGTCATGCACTGCGCCTATTTCTCTTAAAAAATAAAATTTCCAAATTTGTTGAGTTTTCTAGCAGAAATCGCCTACTCCCCCCTCCATCCATTTTGTACGATCACCGGAAGTGCAATACATGCAGAGTTCATGGGTGAAAGCCAGTGGGCTCCATGGCTCAACTGGTTAACTGTAGATAAAAAAATAAAGATATTCTAAGTTGTTGATGCTTATTTTGACATATTTTAATTCAAATTCAAACCAAGACTATTTTAAGTTGCCCCTAACTTTAGTGCATTAATTTCAATTGGAATAAGTGTAAACCTTGAAGTGTTCAGCAACCCTTTGTATTCATCAACGTCCAAATAACAAATAATGACAAGTGCATGTAGTGCCTGCGTAATTTACTGTACGCTCAACTGGTAGAGCATCCGAGATCTAATCGGCGGGTTGTGGGTTCAATTCCCACCGAGGTGGACTGACTTTTTCCCATCAGTCCTTAGCATAGGATTTGATCCTATGTTTCAAATAAATTTTCATTGAGGCACATTTATTTAAATATGTATTTAAAAAATTATCTGACCTTGAAGAACTTTGGGCACTGCTTGGAGGACCACAAGGCAATCTTCTGTTGCTTGCATTCTTGTAACAACTCTGCATCGGTCACATCATCTGTAAAAATGATGCTTTTTCTGACCTGTAGATAGAAATGTAGATTAATATCTATAAATTTTCTAACTTGTACATACACACAGTTTTGAGATATAAGAGCTCAAAAATGGCAAACGTGTCGAATATCGAAAATTTGGTCATCTTTTGACGTCTGGGGTCTCCGTAAAATATCGAATTCGATCGCCTGTAATCTGCCTTTAAAGCGGGCGTCATGAGCATTTCAGAACTGTAAACCAAATTGAAATCGGTCCATTATTTCTCTGTTATCACGCCCGGCGATCGTACAAAATGGATGGATGGGGGGGGGATTAGGCAATTTCTGCAAGAAAATTCAACAAATTTGGAAGATTTATTTTTTCAAGAGAAAATTAAACCTGAATTGCCAAATGAATAGGCACAGTGCATGGCAAAATATGTTAGGTCATCTAGTATTTTTTGAACTGATACACTTCAAAGATATGAGATCTATTAAAAAAGGCGCATCATCACCAACGTGCGAAATTCAATGTTTTTGCTATAAATCGGGCAACAATGGTCTACACGACCTGTAATAAATAGGTATAAGGGACGTTATTATCACAATACTAATGACATTGCTCACTTTTTAAAGTCAGTTTCCAAGCGTTATACAAAAAATAATCGAAATAAATTAATATTGGATGGAGGGGGGGGGGGAGTGGATGGAGAGGGGGATTTATATGTCTTTACGATGGAACAAATTCACAAGAACTCGCGTATTGCGGTCCCCGTACGGAGTATCCAGTTTTTTTACAGGCCGCAGGGTCGCCGTAGAAACTCAGTGACCCAGTAAGAAACACTGGATATTATATATCTGGGGAATGAAAAATGGGAAAATTTGGAGTCATAAGAAAAAATTCAAGTAGCATGTCTTATCATGTCTTACATACACGTGACCCCCCCCCCCTCATCCAATCCCCCTCCATCCAATATTAGAGAAAAAACAGTTTTCGGTCATATATTTGCTGTAAAACACAACACGTACAGTTTTTGATGTAACACCCTAGTCACATTTGTCGTACGGAGGCCATGCGTCGACCACAGATCAAGTAAAACAGTGAATTTCTGCGGCGAGCGTAGAAAAACTACGCTCGCATTGCGGTCCCCGTACGGCGTATCCAGTTTTTTAGAGGCCGCAGGGTCGCCGTATAAAGTATAACTCGGAGTTATAATATTTGTTCATTTCTGCGATGCCCGTAGAAATCAACTAGTCCGGTTGCCAAATCTCAAATACAGGCCAAAGGTCGTTTTAAGGTATAAAGTTTTTTTCTGTGCATTTTTATATTGCCACATATGTATCCTTCAAAATTAAACAATCTGCAAAATCATATATGTTGAGCATTTTTTTTAATTGCACCTTTTAATTATGTAATAATATTTCAAAAGGGGCGTGGCACTTTGAGGAGTTATAACATGTTAACAGTCATTACCAAATGATTAGACAACTGAAAATGTGTGTTTTTTGGAGAAATAGACAGAACAAATGTTTGGTGTCAGATAAATATAATATTTGAAGGATTATTTGAGTTTGATTATGTAATAAATCAATAAAAACATTTTAAAAAGATAATGCCCGTACTACATATAGTAATAGAAGCATATAAAGGTGCACATACCTTATTTTAAAGAATCATTATGTTATACAATGAATAAATAGATCACAAAGTCAAAATAACATTTTATTATTATAATAACACTTATTAAGTAACCTAATTCTATATCCTAACATTTACTTAAAGCCTTATGGAATTTGGAGTAAAATATCAATTTAGATTTCAAAAGTATCTTTTAATAATATTAACCATCTCTTTCAAAACTTAATGCATTGTTTGCTTATGAGCTGAATCCATGAGATAAAATGTTGCATTCATATCAAATGTACATGGTTGTTATGTAAGCACATATTATACATTTAGTGATAGCATTTTATAATTACTTGTTTACAAAGACATACATGTAGTTGTAGTATATATTTAGATTTATTAGCTTTCAATTCTTCATTGACTTTGATGAGAAACATTTTCAATTGATGAACTACTAGTTTGAAATATAGGGTCAAATTCCTTATTTCCAAGATGCATAAATTTTAATTAAGATAAACAAGTGTCAACTCCTTACCTTGTGGTAAGCATTAGCAGAAACAGTAGAACTAGGATTTGGGTCAACATGTGTTTTAATGAATCTATGAAGTTTTCTCTTGATTAATACAAAATTAGAACTTATACTACAGGAAATATTGTTGACTATATGTCTTACAAATGAATGTGGCCAGGGATATACAATTTTAACCACAGATCAGCAATTTGCAACTATCAAATGGCAGTGGGTGTGACCATTGTAATAAGTTGTCATAACATGGTTGGAGAAAAAATGTACATACAAACCTAAGAATAGATGAAAATAGTAACAATCATGGTAAGTTAAAATTAATCCTTAGAAACTGATAAGTAACTGAGTTATTAAGTGACAAAACAATTAATTAAAAAACAAAACAATTAAATACACAATTAATAAAAACTATGTAACATGTTGTAGCCTACACAACTCTTTAAAATAACTATGATATTCTGAGTAAATATCAAAAGACCACATGATTTGTCCAATTTTCATGTCTCGACATTTTCTTTCAGGCGGATGAGTGTTTTTTTAAGAAAACATGTACATTTCAAGATAGGGAACTAATAACTGTCTATGCCAAAAGGATAAGGTCCATTATAAAAGCAAGCAAAGAACGTAATGATAATCTTGGTGTGGAACTGGAGAATAATTTGAACAAAAATGAAAACTTAACATTAAAGTGCCACCATAATTGTGTAAACACTTATGTCTCTTCATTCCATATAAATCATGCTAAACGGAAACCTTCAACATCGAGCAAAGAGGAACCTTCCATGAAGAGAACTCGAAGGTCAAATGTCGAAAACTTTGACTTCAAGAGTCATTGTTTATTTTGTGGACTTGATTGCCCAGTGAAACGAGACAAGAAAAATCCCCATCGATGGAAAGCAGCTTATATTTGCAGAACTGTAAACAAAAGTCTAGGTGAGAGATCTCTCAAGGAAAGAATCCTTGAAACATGCAGGAAACGCTCTGATGACCAAGCACGCCTAGTAGAAATACGTGTTAGTGGAGCAGTAAGTGATTTACATGCGGCTGATGCTAGATACCATGGTAAATGCTATTCATCATTTCTTGGGACAAGGAATGTGTCAGCTGCAGTTTCTGGAGCAAGCAAAATAGAGCTTAATAAAACTGATTTAGCTTTGGAGAAGGTTATTGAAGAAGTACGAAATGATACATCTAGAATGTGGACGTCCACAGAGCTCTTGGACTATTATATCTCTGCCGGAGGTGTTTATTTCCAAACCGGCAATAGAAGCATAATGGAATGCATTGTGAAAACATTAGAGGGTGAATTCATTTTACTCTCAACAATTGGCTATGCCAGCCTTCTTATCTCAAAAACATTTGCTCATCAAATACTAAAATTGAAGTCCCATGAAGATGATGACAGTCATATTCACATAAAAAACATATCAGCTAAAATTGTCAATGAATGCAAGGAGGTGGCCCCTGATAAAACATGCTACAAAACCAGATTGAGTCCCGATGCAGTAAGCTCTCCTATAAGTATGACACACTGTGCCAAAAAGGTTATATAGTAATAGAATCTCCTGTTAACTATGCTCTAATATCAACTGTCATAGTGTGAAATATCTCCCGTATCTCCCGTGTTGTAGAGACACAACCTATACCAAGAGATTTGGCGGACAACCAGTATAGTTAGTACTATTTTCAACTCTACGAAATATGACCTAATATAGGCTGCGTTATATATCTAGGCTAACAAATAGTTTGCCTACCACTCTATTGGACCTATAGAACCAGACATACCCGCCGATTCTATGGAAAACAGCTTCTTCTGGCCTATTTCAGGATATACTATTAAATCAGAGCTCTAATAACAGGAGATACGCTAACTATACGAAATGACGTCATCGTTTCTTATTTCTTTAACTTATCTGGCTTATTAATGATTTACAATGCACTGTCAGCGTTAAGTAATTAAACAAACAAAATAAAACTGATAGATTCACTTTATACACATTATTTAGTCAGATATAGTATTAATTGAGATGATTTTTATCATTTTCACTTGATGAAATCGATTTGGTCATATTTATCAATCCAAACTGATGATTGTAGTTTATTTAGAATTTTTTCTATTCAAAAAAATATTATTTTCTAGTATTTTCCAATCTAAGCCGAAAATATCAAATTACATCATTTTGATTATTCTATTTCTATTTGAAAAATATTTACAAAATAAATATTTTAGAAGAAAGAAAGAAATTTCATTTGATTTAAATTAATGTTAACAATGGAGTAAAAAATGTTAAGAAAAGTCATCAATTAAAAATCAAAAAATTAACTTTCCAATGAGTTAATTGATTCAATCCAAATTTTAATACAGTGTTAATCATAGAATGAGGGACAATATACAATCATATAAATATGAAAAACTTAATTTGCAAATTATTATTTTTGTGGAAATTAGAACAATCGGCTCTAGATATTAATCCATTAACTCTAACAAACGGATTAGTTATCAGTTAACAAAACTCATTCATAGAAATTGAAAATAACTTAGGGATTAAAGTATTACTTCTATTGCTCTGACATCAATACATGCATGTGAATGGTGAAAATCTGCATGATTTTGAAAGAAATGTTGGCAAAGGGGAGGGAATCGTTACTTGTTAGGTACTGGCCTGTTTAAAATGCGTAATGTATTTAGCTAAAATTTGAGCAGTTCTGTGTCTATCAAGACTATTTTTGTGGTCTGCAAAGTGAATACAGGTGGTTGTTTGTGCCTGTGTAAGATGGGGCCTTTTTGTTGTAAACTTAATGTACGTAGTAGAGAAACAATGGAGTAAAAATGTCAGAAAACCCATTTATTAAAAATTAACTTTACGTTGAGTCAATCAATTAAATCCAAATTTTAACACAATGTTAATCATTACTTTAGGGACATTATGCAATCAAATAATTATGAAAAAGTTTTCAAATTATTTTTGTGGAACTTAGAACTGTTGGCTGTAGGAAATTAATCCATTTCCACTAACAAATGGATTAGTTACAGGTATTAGTGTTAACGAAACTCATATTAGAGAAATTGAATAATTGGGGATTAAAGTTTTACTTATCATATTGTGTCAATATGTTATTTACATCAGTTTGTTCTACCATGCTCCAATTTGCTCAAAGTGTAATCATCGCTTTGTCAGATGAAACATTAGGAATTAATGTAAAATGTACCCGCTTCTTTATTTTCATTTTCAAACAACTAAACATACCGAATCTCGCACCTTTTGATATTTGGAAGTGGAAAACAAAGAAAGGTTAATAATAACTAGCTGTAATAAAAAGAAATAGTCCAATTGTAGTAGAAACAAATGTATTACATCATGGACTAATCTGTTGTTTATATCCCTGGTTTATATCTCAGATATTATATTGATAACAGAAAAAATAAATTGTTAAATGTGAGAGAATTCAAGTTTTAATTTTGTTTTAGCATGGCTTATAACACCACTTGTATCATGCAAACTTAATGCATGTTTCCTAATTTATTATCAAAGATTTGTGAGAAGAAATCGGAGCAATACATCCAATATATTACAGTAATAAGTTTTAGCCCTGAGGATCAATTTTCAAAACATACCAACGGGTCACAATTTGTCAATTTTGGCCCATAATCACTTAACAGTGCCCAGATTGGTAAAACTAAATAGGATTTTGACAGAGAAACAATTGAGTTAAATTGTGAGGAAACCCAATGGAGTAAAAATGTGAGGAAACCCATTGATTAAAAATTAACTTTCCGTTGAGTCAATCAATTAAATCCAAATTTTAACACAATGTTAATCATAACATAAGGGACATTATACAATCAAATAATTATGAAAAACTTAATTTGCAAATTATTTGTTGGTTCAAATTAGAACCATCGGCTGTAGAAATTAATCCATTAACTCTAACAAACAGATTATCTATCAGTGTGAACAAAACTCAAATCATAGAAATTGAATAATTAGGGATTAAAGTTTGACTTATTACATTGCTCTGGAATGTCAATACATGTATCCCAGCAAACAGTGACGTCCATGTAACGTCACTCATATGTGGTATATAAGTTCACTGGAGACGTTGTATATTTCCGTTATATAAACGTCAAAGCAACGTAAAATTGTGACATTCAGCAAAACGTCGGTGGATGGTTAAAAAATGACGTTGTAGTAATGTGTTAGTAAAGTTCGAAATTTGTGCTGGTGTGAAAAACGTAACAATGACGTTGAATTTTTACCAGTTTGGTTCATTTGCAACGTAATATAAACGGTAAAATTTAACGTTGTCGTAACGTGTTTTAAATGTGAAAGATATTTGTAAGTGTAGAAAACGTTACAAAGACGTTGTGTTCTCACCAAATTTGGTACATTTGCTACGTAATGTAAACGGTAAAATTTGACGTTGTCGTAACGTGTTTTAAACGTGAAAGATATTTGTAAGTGTAGAGAACGTTACAAAGACGTTGCACTTCTCACCAAGTTGTTTCATTTGCTACGTAATATAAACGGTAAAATTTGACGTTGTCGTAACGTGTTTTAAATGTGAAAGATATTTGTAAGTGTAGAAAACGTTACAAAGACGTTGTGTTCTCACCAAATTTGGTACATTTGCTACGTAATGTAGACGGTAAAATTTGACGTTGTCGTAACGTGTTTTAAACGTGAAAGATATTTGTAAGTGTAAAAAACGTTACAAAGACGTTGCACTTCTCACCAAATTGTTTCATTTGCTACGTAATATAAACGGTAAAATTTAACGTTGTCGTAACGTTTTTTAAATGTGTAAAATATTTGTAAGTGCAGGAAACATTACAAAGACGTTGCAGTTCTCACCAAATTGTTTCATTTGCTACGTAATATAAACGGTAAAATTTGACGTTGTCGTAACGTGTTTTAAATGTGAAAGATATTTGTAAGTGTAGAAAACGTTACAAAGACGTTGTGTTCTCACCAAATTTGGTACATTTGCTACGTAATGTAAACGGTAAAATTTGACGTTGTCGTAACGTGTTTTAAACGTGAAAGATATTTGTAAGTGTAGAAAACGTTACAAAGACGTTGCACTTCTCACCAAATTGTTTCATTTGCTACGTAATATAAACGGTAAAATTTGATGTCGTCGTAACGTGTTCTAAATGTGAAAGATATTTGTAAGTGTAAAAAACGTTTCAAAGACGTTGTGTTCTCACCAAATTTGGTACATTTGCTACGTAATGTAAACGGTAAAATTTGACGTTGTCGTAACGTGTTTTAAATGTGAAAGATATTTGTAAGTGTAGAAAACGTTACAAAGACGTTGCACTTCTCACCAAATTGTTTCATTTGCTACGTAATATAAACGGTAAAATTTGATGTCGTCGTAACGTGTTCTAAATGTGAAAAATATTTGTAAGTGTAAAAAACGTTACAAAGACGTTGCGTTCTCACCAAATTTGGTACATTTACTACGTAATGTAAACAGTAAAATTTGACGTTGTCGTAACGTACGTGTTTTAAATGTGAAAGATATTTGTAAGTGTAGAAAACGTTACAAAGACGTTGCAGTTCTCACCAAATTGTTACATTTGCTACGTAATATAAACAGTAAAATTTGACGTTGTCATAACGTGTTTTAAATGTGAAAGATAATTGTAAGTCTAGGAAACGTTACAAAGTCCTTGTTTTCCCACCAAATTGGTTCATTTGCCACGTAGTGAAAATGGCTAATTGTAACGTTGTCAAAACATGGTTTGAATGTGAAAAATATTTGTAATTGTAACACACGTTACAAAGACGTAATTTTCTGACCAAAATGGTTCATTTTCAACGTAGTGCAAACGGTTAATTTCAACGTTGTCGAAACGTGTTTTCAATTGAAATGTAAAAAAATATTTGTAAGTGCAGGAAACGTTACAAAAAGACGCTATGTCCTCACGAAATTGGTTTATTAACAACGTTGTCGAAACAGTTAATTTTGACGTTGACGAAACGGGGTTTAAACGTGAAAAATACATATACATGTATGTGAAAAAGAACGTGACAAAGACGTTGTGGTCTCAACAAATTCGTTTAATTTGTGACGTGAAGTAAATGTTAAATATATAACGAATATACATGTATGCCTCGAGTTGTGGTAACTTTAAATACTGATCGGTGGAGGCACAGGCATATGTTGGCTCACACAGATGAACTTAACGTGGTAATTGAGAGTGAGAGTGGAAATATGATGTAAAGAAAACGTTTCTCCGACGTTGTAATTTTGCCATGGGTTATTGCTGACAAAAGTCTGACGGTCTGTCCCGAGGGGTTCATTCCAATATACCTCTTAATACCTATGTGCCGCGCCAAAGACCCCCTTTTTGAGCATTTTTTCCATGTCAATTTCCTCTCAAAATTGGAAGTTTCCATGTATTATTCCTCTCAGAGTTATAAAATTCCATATTTTCTTCCTCTGAACTTCATAGATGTCCATGTCGACTTCCTCTGGAGCTTGCCGGTGTAAAATAAATTATGGTCCCCTGGGGATTATGGTCCCCTTTCTTAAAGGCCCTTACTGGCCCTGATTGTGGATACGATAATAAGGGAGAGTTGTATTTAGGTCACCATATAAATCAATGGAAAGTAGGACCATAATTTGATAGGACCTCCTACCCTTTTACGCCGGGACTAAAAATGGCGAATTATCGGTAAATTGACTAAAACTCCACTCTTCCGGCGATTTGTCAGACCTCGGGACAAAAATTTTAGTCCCTTTCAACAAGGGCGAGCGTTACAAACGGAAAGTACATCG